AAAAAAAGAAGAAAATCAGTAGCTGGGTCTTCCATCAAAGCCTCAGAAACACTGGGTCCTTGCTCCTCAAGGCCTCAGCCGAGGTGGACCCCACAGTCCCCATCCTCATTTACAAGGTCGCTGGTGTTGGAGAGCCTTGCTGGCCGACCTGCCCTCCCCAGCAGGCCCCGGTGTGCCCAGCCCCGCTCCCCCCCCCCGCCCCGCCCCCTTTCCCTGCCGGCTGCCCTCACGCACCCTGGCCCCCAGGCCCCACCCAGGCAGCTCAAGTGTTTCCCACCTTGTCCCGGCTAGACCCGTGGCCCAGGGAGCCTCCAGTCAATCACTGTTTTATAGAAGCAGCTGGGCCCCGGCCAGGGGAAGGGTTTTGCCCGCACTCACAGCAGGGTGATCTGTGAACTGTGTTTTATTGTTGTAAGTCACAGGAAATGAGCAGGGGATCCAATTCAGCCATTGCAAAAAGTGTCTGGTGACGGCTCAGCTTTTGTCTAGTGGCCAGTGCTGTAGTTCCTTGGCCAACGGGAAGGAGGGCAGACTCCATGGCTCCAGAGCCAGGCTCGGCCACTCCCTCTTCTCTTGGAACTGTTTCCAGCCAGAACATTAGAATTGGCCCTGTCTTCTGTCCTGGGAGCCTCAGGTCTTGTTCTTTTTTCTCTTTTTGCAAACACTGTCACTTCCTAGGTAGCAGGGGCTGTCCTCCGTACAGAGTTCCAGGTGTGTATTTTGTCAGCTGTGTGGTCTCTCCCCAGCTGCCTATATGGAGATTAGCTCTGTGCTCTTCTGGCTGTGTAACTTTAGATAAGTGACCCAATCTCTCTGAGCCTCAGTTTCTTCATCTGGGAAATGGGGACAATAAGAATACCAACTTCTAGGGTTATGGTGAGAATCTAGTGAAACATTAGGTCAAGGGCATAACATAGTGCCTGGCACAAGTCTCTGCTGAATACAACATCAGCATGTGTTCCCCAGTGCTGGAATTAATCTAGAACAAAAGCCACGTTACTAGTACCACGCCACCTTCCTGACAACTTGTTATACAGGGGACAGGGGACGTTTACCAAGGCTGTCACAGCCACCTCCACCTTCACGGCTGGAGATCAGGCCAGAGGTGGTTGTCCCCCGTCTTGCAGGTTTGAAGGCAGCCATGGCCTCCCGCCCAGACGGTGCTCCACCCCTGCATCCTGCCCAACACACGTGGGGAGCTCAGCTGATGCTGACGATTCAGAAAGCCCAGGAATGTCCCAGCTCATGGGGACATGGCCATGAATGCCAATTCTTGCCATGCAGATGGCAAATTCACAAGGTTCTGGAAATAGCATCTGTTCGGATGCCTAGGTCTTCTTCTGTAGGTGTTTTGAGAGAAGATAAAAATAAAACTTTTCCATGTTTGGGGTTATCGCAACAATTTGTAGGAGGCAGTTTGGAAACGCGTATGGAGTAATTTTGAGATGCAGTTTTGGTGCATTCTGCACCCGGTGAACTCTCCTTAGGTGTGATAAAAGTTTTCCCTACCCCGCTGTTTATGATACCAAAATTGAGACATAACCAAAATTGACAGTGCTAGGGGACTGGGTTAAATAAATGATCACTTAGCCATAGGGTAAGGTACTGTGTGGTCATTAGAATTGCAGATGCAGCTCGACATGTTTCAGGGTGAAAATATGTCCTTATATTGTTGTGCAGTGGTGGGGGGAGGGGACAAGTTGCTGATGGCCTTAATAGCTGGTTGGTGTCTGTGTGTGTGTGTGTGTGTGTGTGTGTGTGTGTGTGTGTGTGTGTGAGAATATACACCTAAGCACATGTATCTAAAAGGGTGATCAAATTGTTAATGTGGTTTTTGCTATATTAAAAAAATGGATTTTTTTATCATCAAGTTTTAAATTTTGTCAATAATAAACATATAATTTTTTCCCTGGGCTTTTGTTGTTGTTTTGGTACCAGAGATTGAACCCAGGGGTGCTTAACCATTGAGCCACATCTCCAGTTCTTTAAAAAATTTTTTTGTTTTGAGACAGGGGCTCGCTAAGTTGCTTAGGATCTTGCTCAGATGCTGAGGCTGGTTTTGAACTTACTATCCTCCTGCCTCAGCCTCCAGAGCTGCTGGGATTATGGGTATATGCCACCACCACGTTCAGCCACAAATATGTAATTTTTTCATAATTTTTTTAAAAGAGAGAAGAAGGTGGGGGGGGCAGGCCCAGGAGATATCAAGTTAGTGACAGTACTGACCAGCTATGTTCTTACCTGTCCTTTCTCTTCCTCATCCCTCCACCCTGGGTGTCTCCACCTTTGCCCAAGCCTCAGGCACCTGAAGCCAGGTAGGGAGTAGGGGCTTCTAAGAAGAGCCCACAGAGTTCCAGATCAGGTGACGCAGACTCTGTGCTGTCCCCGCTTCCCCTGCCACCAAACCCAGTGGTTTGCAAAAAGAAAGAGTCCAGAGGCCAAACTGCCCCGTGGAGACCAGGCTGCCCCCCAGGAACAGGACAAGGCTCAGCGGCCCGTCTTCCCCCACTGGAGGAAAGGGAAGGCGAGTCCTCGCTGAGCTCCAGCCCTTCCCATCCTCTCCCACCAAGAGCCCACAGGTCTTGTTAGCTGAGACCCAAATGAAGTCACAGGCCCAAGTCCCAAAGAAGCCTGCTGGACAAAGACAGCCTTAGTGGAGGCCCGGTAAGGGAGGCCCATTCTGCACCCAGATCACCTGGGGAAGCGTGGCATCTTAACAACGGCAGGGCTGCTGACTTACGAACACGGTCTACTGTCATGTAGACAATCACACCCTTAAGTTCAGTGTTCTCTGTGATGCTGCAGAGATTCAGGTATACCCGTGTCTGCTGTTCGTGGTGCTCCTGGAAATGGATTTTGCTTTTTAAACTTTCCCTCTGAAACTTGGTCAGGGTCTCAAGAAGGCCAGGGCTGTCCTGGGGTTCCTGTCCTGACTTACATTTTTCTTAGGCACATCCGTGCAGGCCTGCAGAGGAGAGCCACGGTTGGACACAGACTCCTCTCATGGCGGGGGCTGCCAATGCCTCTAAAGGCCACATTCACTATTAAACCTTATCAACATTTCAGGTGGCTTTTCTTACCTGTTCTTAAGGCAGGTAAGAAACATCATAATAGCCACCACCTCGTAGGGCAGGGCAACACTGCCTGTGTCCTGGTCACCCTTTGGAATTCAGTTAGCTTGCTGGCTTTACAACCTCAGTTCTGAGGGACTCAAAGAGAACTTTGTAGGTTATCAGGTTTTGTTCATTATTAAGGTAGAGTGAGGAGTGAGGGTTTTTTTGTTTGTTTTGTTTTGTTTTTTCTCAGTGCTAGGGGTGGACACACAGGTCCTTGTGCATGCTAGGTCCACGCTCAGCAGCTGAGCCACACCCCCTGCCCTCAGGCAGGGTGTAGGAAACCTGCCATCAGAGTCCCAAGGCCCAGGCTGCCTGCCCAACACCTTGGAGCTGCAGAGAGGGGGACCAAAGAGAGATTGGAGAAGGGAGAGGACCCCACAGGCTGAGGTCAGGGGCTCTGGGACAAGCTCCCCTATCCCCAAGGTGATTTGATCCGCGCAATCCCTATTTAGGAAAACCCAATGATCCATCCCACCCCAGAAGGCACCCACGACACCATAATAGCCTGCATTGGCTGTCGCTCTATCTTGGTTCTTCCACAGAGAGGCAAGGAAATAAATGCTTTCATTCTTCTCTTTTGGATGAACAGAGGGTCAATGTGTCCCCCCACCCGAGTATGGGACAAATGCTAGAGTCCTGAAGTTCGCAGGCAATGTCTCCTCCCCGTACTGGGCTCCGTGGGCCCCGGAGCTCCATGGCGGTTCCTCAGGATGGCTTCTAGAACCTTCTTCCTCCACGCCCATGTTGCAGCTTTGCTTCTAGATATTAAGCTTCTGCCGGAGATGCTGATTAGTGAGGGTTTCCAGTGCTCTAAAATATAAATTTCTGACCCACCACCCCTGCTCCTTGTCCCTACAATAGCAAGATCAGTGGTCACTACGGGAAAAAAGGATTCTCAGGGGAATCTGGCTCGGGAGGGAAGAGCGCAGTGATGGATTGGCAATGTCTGCCTTGGGCACAAGATGGGGAGACACATCAGCATCGGGTTTCCATGTGTTGTCCCTGCCCATGCAATGGACCAGCACTGCTGTTAGAGCTGGGCTACAGGGGCACCATCCACCCATACGACCTCTTATGGCAGAAATTGTACTGGGCCAAGGGACACTCCCATCCCGGGCCCATGCTCTCCATCTTAGCAGCCCCACAGAATTTCCTGCCGCAGCCATTCTGAGGCAGCCTCAACGTCAGTCCCCTTGGGGTGTGACTGGGTCACCACATGCGTTCTCTGAGGCTCATGTGGCCGCCATTTGCAAACAGGTAGCTCTCAAGGAGGGGCAGTCTTCTGAAGGATGTAAATGGCACTTGGCCATGAGGGCTGGGTTGTCCACACACACACGTTCAGTCCTTGGAGGTGGGAAGAGAAGGAGCATGTGCTCTGGGAACTCTTTGGATCAAGAGTTAGAGTGAAGTGTTAAGAAGGGAACTGTGTGTGTGCAGTGAAACAGTGTGGTGATTGATTAGTGATGTCTGACACGGACAGGACGGCGGGTGAGGTGGGATGGGCACTTTTAAATTGCATAGCGGGCTCCCAATCAGCCCTCCTTGTCCAATAAGACATACCGAATTCCTTCCTACCACCTGGAATCCAGTCCTGCCGGGATCCCTCCCAAGGAAAGAGTGTGCATCACCTTTAAGGAAGCCGCCTCATGCAGGTTTGGAAAGCTCTGGCCATTTAAATACTTTTCTCACTGTGGAGCCCCAAACCACCTCCCAGGCATCGCCACCCTCTGAGTGGCGCTTTGCCCAGGGCTGCGCAGCTCCATCAGGTCCCCTCCCTGACTATCTCCACCCCCAGATCTTGCCACAAGCCCAGCCTGAGAGCCGGCTTCACTGTCTCCTTCCTCCAAAACACAGAAAGAAAGCACACACACACCAGCACTTTGGGGGAGGTTAAAACAAATCACCAAGAGCAATGTTAATAAATACACGACACTGAAAAGACCTGACCTCCCAGGCCAGGGGCTCACCTCCCCAACCCAGGCCCAGCTGGCTCTCACAGGAATGTTCTGTGTGTGCCCAGCAGTCTATAGGGGGACCCCCCAGAGCTTCTGTTCTCCAGGAGGTCCCAGGTCGGGGCCCAGGACTCCCCTCCCACCAGCCTGGGAAGGCATGAACCACAAGCACCTCTTCCCTGTGAAGGGTCAGAGACAGACCCTCCAGCACCTTGGAGTGAGGACCCCCAGGAACAGCCTGAAAACCTGAGAGCCAAGGGGCCGAGGACTGGTGCCTGCCCCTTGGAGGTGGCCAGGAGGCTGCTGACCTGAGGCCCTAGAGCACCATGGGTCAATGTGTCCCCCCACCCGAGCATGGGACAGAGGCTGGCATCCTGGTCTAGTCATCCCCAGAGCCTGGCTGGGTGGATTGTCTCCGCCTGGGAGCCCCTTGGAGCACCAGGCCTCTGGCCGAGCTCCAGTCAGGTGGGAGAGACCCCGACTCCAGCAGGAGTGGACTCTGACGGAGGGTGCAGACTGAGGGACAGGGCCTAGGAAATCACATCTCCCTGTGTCCCAAGCCAGGCCCCCCAAACCCTGGAGTAAGGACTGAAGTGGCCATTCCTGGTCTCGCCAGGGATCAAGCACCAGTTTGGAGACTCCTGACGAGGACGTGGGGTCAGGGTGCCCTGGGCCCTCTTCTCTGGACATCTGGGTCTGCAATTGCAAGGCCAATATCTAACCTGGAGTCACCAGAAATAGAAGTGACATCCGCAGGGGCAGAGTGTGGCCACAAGTGCTGCTCTCCAGTTGGCAAAGGTGAGGGGCCTCCGTCCTGGCCTCAGCCAGGGGAGCTGCAAGGGGAGCTGGACCTGAGACCAACGCACTTGTCACCTGCCACCCTGCAGCAGGGAGCCTCCCGCCAGGCCCACCCTGGCCCCTTCCTCAGCCTGTCCTCGGGGGAGCCCCCCAACTTCCCTCGGCCCCACTCTGCCTTTCTGGGGCCTGCACGGGGGGGCCCCCCAGCCCTAGGAAAGCAGAAGCCCTACAGCTCCCAGCACGGCTTCGGTCCTGCCTGGGCCCAGGGCTGTGGGGAGGCCGTTACCAACCCTCAGTCCTGGTGGAGCCACCGCAGGTGGCCCTGAGAGGTCCCGTCTGGGCCCGGCTGGCCGAGGTATCCCATCCCCCAACGTGGGGGAAAGAGCCTCATGGCCCCAAACAAGAACAAAAAGGCAAATAACTTAAAAAGGAAGCCTGCGCTCACCCCTGTCCCTCAGTGGGTGTCCTGAGCTGGGGACACGGGAGCAGCACACAGAGTGTAAACACGACTGGCCGGAGGGGTGTGGCATGGCTCATGTCACCGGGGAGGTGGCAGGAAGGCCCGTGCCTGGATGCCCTGGGTCCTCCCTGGGCTGCCCTTGGCCCTCAGAGGCTGGCACAGGTGGCTGGGTCCAGCCCCAAGGTGGTCCCTGAGGAGTGGTAGGGGAGGTGCCCCCAAATGTTCTAGGGCTCAGAGTCTGGGAGGCCATGTGGAGCTGGGCCACTGAGGAGCCCCTGTCCCATGGTCCCGGGAGCTGAGTGGGTCGGCCTTGCTGATGGCCGTCCAACTCTCCTGGCCCCCTGGTGGGCTCCACAGCCTCCGGAGTGGCCTTGGGTTCTGGTAAGGAGGTCCCAGGAGTGGAGAACGGAGGAGGCGAGGCCATGATGGGGTCCGGGCTAGTGGCGGGGCCGGAGGCCTTCTTGGTGCAGGATTCGCAGCACAGGCGGTGGTAGCCAGGGATGGTGCAGTAGCGACCGAGCACTTCCAGGTGGCAGAAGATGGACCTGTCCCCCGCGCAGGGCTCCACTGCATACACGGCACAAGGACCAAGGTCGGGGCGTGCCTGTCAGCCAGGCGACCCTGCCACAGGGCCCCACCTCCCACTCACCCACACCTGCCTGCCCTCCAGACTCACTACAGGGCTTTTCCTAGAGGGGCCACCACGGGTCCCCAGATAGGAGAGAGCCCTAATTGGTGGGCTGGAATGGTGATCTCAACGTGTGCCCCCTGCACACAGCATGGGCCTCCCCTGGCACTGGGTGGCCAGATAAACCATCAGGCCCACCAGGAACTCTGAGCCCCTGCAATGCTTTAACAGAACCCTCCAGGGACTCTGATGGGGGACCCGAGAGCCGTGCTCAGCGCCATTCATCACAGGCCGTCCAGCAGAATCGAGGGGAGCCTCACAGACAGCCCTGCCTGCGCCCTTCCCAGAAAACCTGGGCACAGAGGCGCTTCCAACCTGCAGCAGAGCGTGAGAGCCCCATTCTGGATGGAAGTGGGACTCCACACCCCTGCCTGCTAGTCAACCCAGAGGACTCCGACCCCTCCAGGAGTGGCCAGGCTAGAGTCCAGGGAGCTCACACCTGGAACAAGCAGATGGACATTCGGCCACATCCGGGACAGCAGGGTCGTTAAGCTCTCTACCACTGACTCTGGAGTGAGGCAAATCCAGGCTCAAATCCAGGCTCTGCCACTTAACAGCGGTGAAACCTTGGGGAAAATCCCTTAAATTCCCCAAGCCTGGTTCTCCACCTGCCACGTTCCAGTGAATGACAACACTGCATTATAATAAACACCTGGCACGGAGGGGCACTCCCCATCCTAATTTGCTTTGCTTTAAGTGGCATCTCGAATGTTTCTGTGATTAATCCAGGCAGGTGTCTCTGGGCAGAATAGGAAGACAAGAGCAGAGAGGGCTACTAATTTCGGCCAGAGAACACCGGGGGTGGTGGGTAGGCTACGGGAACAGATCACAGAAAACGGAAGCCCAGTAGCCTCTAGATGGCGCCCAAGTTCCAGGACCTTCCTCTTCGCTTTTGGGAAGCGAACTTTTCTAAGTTTGTTTATGTGTGGGTTGTATTGGGGATTGAATCCAGGAGCGCTTAACCACTGAGCCACATCCCCAGTGATTTTTTGTACTTTATCTAGAGACAGGTCTCACTGAGTTGCCAGGGCTGGCTTTGAATTCACGATCCTCCTGCTCAGCCTCCGGAGCCCCTGGGATTGCAGGTGTGTGTCCAGCTGTTCCTGAGCATTTTGGAATCCCAGACAGGAGGTTATGGACCAGTACAGGACCATCCCACTTCCCAGCTGCAGACTTGGAGGCTCAAGAAGCTGAGATCACACAGACAGATGTCAAGCAGGGTCCGCTTTGCTACATGCATGGCCCATGCTTAGATGCCTGCCCCCCCCCCAAAGGTTTGGAGAGGGAGGGAGGAGTCCGTTCAGTCACTTACCTGATGCTATCTTGTTCGTGGCAGGCGACGGCCCTGACTGTGGTACCCACTGCCCCTCTGGAGTCACGGGCTCCTGGGCCTTCACTGTGGAGTTCCGGAGATTTCCTGGGAGCAAGGAGAAGCAGCTCTAGTACAGGTGAGCACCCCTTATCCAAAATGCTCAAGACCAGAAATAGTTCACAGTGTAGATGATTTCAGATTTCTCAATATTTTCATGCACATAATGAAATACATTGGTGAAGACACAAGTCTAAACATGAGATTCACTTGCTCCGTGTACACATGGTGAGAGGGTAACTTTACACGATATTTTAAAGATAATTTGGGGAATGAAAGTTTGTGTGTCACATTCCCCTTGAGGATGCTATGTTCTACATAGGAATTTTTTATTTGTATGTGTGTCTTATTTTTGCAGCACCGAGGATTGGGCCCAGGTACTCCATCACTGAGCTACATCCACAGCTCCCCAGCCCTTTTAACTTTTATTTGAGACAGGGTCTCACCAAGTTTCCCAGGCTGGCCTCAAACTTGGTTGTTTTGTTTGTTTGTTTGTTTTTTATCTTTATTTATTTATTTCTACTTGGTGCTGAGGAACGAACCCAGGGCCTCGCACATGCTAGGCGAGCACTCTACCGCCGAGCCACAACCTCAGCCCTGAACTTGGTTGTTTTTTGTTTGTTTGGTCCAGGGATTAAACCCATGGGCACCTAACCATGGAGCCACATCCTTAACCCCCTTTAAAAATTTATTTATTTATTTATTTATTTATTTTGAAGCTGGATCTTGCTGAGTTGCTTATGGCCTCACTAAGTTGCTGAGGCTGGCCCTGAATTTTTGATCCTCCTGCCTCAGCCTCCTCAGTGGCTGGGGTTATAGGTGTGTGCCACCATGCCAAGCTGTGCATCTGAGTTTTGACCATAGCTTGCCCCATGAGGTTAGATATGGACTTTTCTACTGTGGCATCATGCCAGCACTCAAAACGTTTTGGATTTTACAGCACTTTTGATTTCATATTTTTGGATTAGGGATGCTTAGCCTATATCTGGGATTCCTAAAGGCCACAATCCAAGGCAGGTCTGGGTGCAAGGTCAAGGCCTTGCTGGGCCAGGCCTCCCCATCCCCGGCTCACCTCCACAGGCTGGCAGGCTGCAGACCTGGACAGTGTCTGGCTTGTCCCCCTCACACTGGCCAAGGCTGTTGGTGTTGGTCCGGCACACCACCTGCCGCTGCTGGATGCCCTCTCCACAGGTGGCCGAGCACTGCCAGGAAAGGGCGGGGGGGCCAGGACAGCGCCAGGCAGGACAGGTGGAAGGAGAGACAGAGGGAGGACCAGTGAGCTCAGAATCCAGCTAAAGCCCAAGGACAGAAAGGTACAAAGGAGGGTGCCATGCCTTCACCTGACCAAAGGGACTTGCAAGGACGGCTTCTAAGGAACCGCACCCAGCCACCACACCATTGTCAGATTGTCCTTAATCAGTGATGAAGAGCAACTGCCCTAAGCTTGGGACTCCAAAGACCCTCCCACAATCTCCACGGTAAATTCTCATCTCAGGAGGGGACTTCGGGGACCCCCTTCCAGCTACTACCACCTGTGTCCATTGAGCCTGGTCTATGCTCCTCCTAGTCCTAGTCCTCCTCCTCCTCCTCCTCCTCCTCCTCCTCCACCTCCTTCTTCTTCTTTTTTAATATTTTTAGTTGTAGTTGGACACAACACCTTTATTTTATTTATTTATTTTTATGTGGTGCTGAGAATCGAACCCAGGGCCTCACACAGGCCAGGAAAGTGCTCTAACCCTGAGCCCCAGCCCCAGCCCTGTGCCTGGGTTCTCAAATATTTTGTGTATCCCCCTAGCAAGCTCCCCTGCAGCCCACCCCATGGAGTGACCCAGGCAGGATGATTCACTCGATGGCACCTTGTTAAGGACACGTAGGAGCCTTAACTAGCAGCCTCGTCAGTTCAGTTCCCAACTCTGTCAATCAAGAGACCTAAGGGACAGGGTCTCTCTGGCCTCTTCTAGCTCTGACATGCCATGATCTTGTGACTCAGTTTACCCCACTTGCAGAGGTCTGCCCAATATCTCCTTCCCCGCAGGCATGAGTGCCAGGAGCAGAGGTAACAGGTATCAGGGGCTCGGGCTGTCACACACGCCACCTCTGGGTCGGACACACTTCCTACTCTGATAAATGGGTCACGGGGTGGGGGGAGTTCCGGGGTGAAGGGGCAGGCCCCCAGGGAACAAGGCTGCCCAATCAGGTCATATTTTGGGCACTGACCACATCCTCCTAGAGCAGGGCACGGGAGAGCTTGCAGAGCTGACTTCTCATCCTGGAGCGTGTGACCACTGGGTGAGGCACAAGGGTCCCGGGGCCACAGACAACCACGGGACGAACGTGGCTCCTCCCCCCAGGATGAACAATGACCAAGAGCAGCCTCCAGACCTGAGTGTTCACCAGGCTCACCATCCGTTTTCTCTCTGGGGCCTTGGAGGACTAGCAATCTTTATTTTATATCAAAATGAATGAAGCTGTATATTATGGAGATAAATATAAAATCTGCACCAGTAGGGATTTTTGCCTTTTATTTACTTTTGCTTTTTATTTGTATTGGTACTGGGGCTGGCACTCAGAGGCCCTTACATGCTGGGCAAGTACTCTTCCACTGAGCTGCACCCCAGCCCTGGGTAGTGGGAGGGTTGGACTCTCTTTTTCTTTTGGTACCGGGGATTGAAACTGGGGGGCGTAACCACTGTGCTATATTCTCAGCCCTTTTTATATTTTACTTAGAGACGGGGTCTTGCTGAATTGCTTAGGGTTTTGCTAAGTTACTGAGGCTGCCTCTGAGCTTGCCATCCTCCTGCCTCAGCCTCCTGAGCCTCTGGGATTACAGGTGTGCACAGCCATGCCTGGTGGGATTGGACTCTTTAAGAAGACCCGGTTAATACTCTTTCACGTAGGCCCTCCCTGACCACCCTCTGTCCTTGTCCTGGGTCACATTCCCTGTCACCCTGCACAGCTCCACCTGGATCTGTACTCTCGACCTTTGTCTACTCTGTCCCCCATCTGGACGGTGAGCTCCAGGAGAGCAAGGATCTTGCCTGGTGCTCTGTTCCCGGCATTCCTTGTACCATGCCTAGCATGCAGTTGGCACTCAGCATGTAAGAATATGCATTCATTTGCTCATCTGGGACTTGGGGACATGGACCCGTGCCTCTTGATGCTGTGTGAGCCTTAAAGGAAAGGGACACGCCCCACACAGAGCCGCATCCCTGTGTGTGGGAGCCGTTCCATTTTGTTTTGAGAGAAACAGCATCAGATGCCAGGAGAGGTGCAGACAGAAGCTCTCTGCCTCCAGGGAGCCCCAGCAAGGCCCTTGGAGCCTCTCCACTCTGGCTCCCCCCTTCCCAAGCATGGCCAGCCTCCTGAGGCCAACTCACCTGGGACCAGGCTCCTGTCCGCCACTGGGCTGGGCAGGGCACGCGAAGGCAGGGCCTCCGGGCCTCGGGACGGTCACCAGGGCACACCTTGGCTGGCAGGGCTTTGCGAGTGCCATTGGAGAGGGGCAGAAAGCAGTGCACCTCCCGGGTCTGCACCCCCAGCTTCCCGCAGCTCCGGCTGCAGGTACTCCACTCGTCGGTCACCCACCTGAGAGGGGGCAAGAGGCGGAGGGAAGGGGACCAAGGGAATGCTTCCCTCCAGGTGTCACCTCCCACGCCAAGAAGGCCACACAGAAGGGGTGCAGGGTGGGTGTGAGCTTCAAATGACCCTCCACCTGCTCTGCAGCTGCCTGGCTGGGTGACCTCAGGGAGGCCACTCTTCTCCACCGCTCTGTCTCCTCATTGGCAAAACCAGAAAGAGGCATATTTAAATTCTGCACCCCGCATGTCCTGGGGTCAGCTGCTAAGGCCATAAGCTTAGTGACACCCCATCTTTACGTCACGATATTTCAGTATCCCATAAATATTCGAGGCACCGTTCTGGGTCCTGAGACAGAGTAGTGCTTAAAACAGACCAAAGACGTACTTCCACACAAGAGCAAGTGTGTAGTACGTCATCACCACCCTCAGGGGGGCAGCACCCGCAGCTCCACGGGTGGTCTGCAAACATCTCGGAGCAGCAAAGCAACTTCCACCAGCATCTCAAGCGGCCACGGCCATCATCGGAGGAGACAGACAAAAGCCAAACCGCTGGGTGGGGATGGGGGAGGGCCGCCCGACACCTTCTCCCCTGGGTTTCCTGAGGTCTCTTTTAGTAACTAGAGCTCTTTAAAGCACATATTCAAAGTCAACCCCTTTCTTTAAAAAAAAAAAAAAAGACTCAAGATTTGGGGGGAGGGGACAGCCCACCCAGGACCCCAGGCCGGTTCACCATGCATGCAGGCCCTGTGAGCACCACATTTGTGGGACAGTGGTCTGAGTGACAGTGTAAAGGGACAAGTGGAAGGGAAGCACAGGGGCTGGTGATGAGGCTGTCCCTGGCACAGGACAGCCACAGCAGACTCTAGTGCCAGCCACCCAGCTCCTACCCTGGCCCCTGATGGCATGTCCAGCCCAAGGGTACAGGAGTGGCTCTAGTGTGGAGCCTCGGCCAGCACCCCCGCCCTGCCCCAGTCGTCCCGGGGGGTGGAGAGGAGAATGATGGACAAGGCCCTCTGTACCTCCCTATGGGCAGCTGCCCTCGGTCCTGCGTGGGGGCACAGGGACGCCAGGTGGAGCTGAGGAGGTCCTGAGGCTGGATCCAAGGTCTGGGCCTGAGTCCTCCAAAAACCACTGCACTAACCTCTCCCTGAAGGTCCCTCCAAATAACCCCAAGGGCATGACCTTGTGCTGAGAAGGGCCTGTGCCCTCAGGCTAGGGAATCTTAATCAGGCTGGGCCATGTTGGGGCTGGCAGGTGTCCCTGGACTCCTGATGACCAGACTGAGGAGATGGTGGACACCACCGTGACCAGAGCCAGGGGCCTGGAGGCACTGAAAACTTGTCACGGAGGGGAAGTCAGTGATTCTGAAAGCCCAGAGTGCATGGCCAGGCACAGAGGGGCAGAACCCGCTGCACGGGCTGCTCTCTCCCTGGGAGACCTGGCCACAGGCTGTCCCCGGGAGGCAGTGCAGGGCTGGGCTCCCAGGGTCCCTGAGCACTCACACAGGCTGGGAGCACGGGTGCTGGTTGCAGCGCCGGCGGATGGGCTTGGGTCGCTTCCTGTAGTCACACAGGTGTCTCTGCACCGTGTGGTGATCGCGTCTTCGCCGGCATCCATATTTGGTGAACTGGATGCCTGTGGAGGGCAGGCTGCTGTGAGTCTGCTCCAGGCTCCCACTGGCCTGTCCGAGTCCTCAGGAGGGGACCTTCTGGAGACGCTGGAGACTCCTCCTACCTCCCTCTGGGCCCCACAGCCCCTCCGGCCTGAGCTGCTTTCTGCAGAATACCCTCCTTGATGGGTCTCCCACACTCCCAAGAAGGGCTGCTGGGGAAGTGGCTTTGGATGCCACCTGTCCCGCTGAGGGGAAGCTCTTCCAGGCAGGGTCCCCGGCCTGCAGACTGCTCCAGCAGCCCCTGGTCCCCGCCCCAAAGCCCTGCCCAGAACGTTTCCACACACTGAAGATCTTTAAGGAGAAACTGAGGCATGAGGAGGGACGCGTCAAACGTCCAGTGGAAACATCACCCCCACACTCTGCCTCCCCACTCCTCCCCCCACCAGGAGCTGGAGGGTCAGGGGGCTGGTACCTCCTCCGCAGGCCTTGGTGCAGGGCGCCCAGCTCTTGAGCGCCCACTCATAGGTGTCCGTCTCCTCTAGAAGGACGTTGTTGCTCCCGATGAGCGGCAGCAGGTCCTCGTGGATGACATACTTGTAGGCCAGGCTGCCGCGGGGGCCACCCTCAGTGGGGGGCAGTACCTAAAGGGAGACGAGAAGGAGGAGGTGGCACAGAACCAGAGAGAGAGGCAGGGCTGGTAGAGGGGGTGAAGGGGCCAAAGAGAAGGACAGGGTCAGGATTGGGAGGGGTCGGCTCTGGGACCGGCAGACGGGCAGGATTCACACCAGCAGCCAAGTGACAAACTTCTGCCCCCAAACTAAGCACCTGCTGTGTATCAGGCCCTAGAGCAGCCCATGCTGGGCTCTGCGTGCTTTTCCCTCCCTGGGTTCTAGTGGGCAGGACCTGCTCCCTGGCTGACCCCAGAAGATGGCCAGCCGATGTCAAATCCTTATCAAATAATGGATTGCAAATGCTTTCTCCCATCTCGTGGCTGGTCTTTTCCTTTCTTGACAGGGCTCTTTGATGCACACAGTGTTTAATTTTTTGGAGGGGGTAGGTACTGGGGATTGAACTCAGGGGCACTTGACCACTGAGCCCCCTCCCCAGCCCTATTTTGTATTTTATTTAGAGACAGGGTCTCGCTGAGTCGCTTAGGGCCTCGCCATTGCTGAGGCTGGCTTTGAACTCTCAGTCCTCCTGTCTCAGCCTCCCGAGCCACAGGGATCACAGGCGTGCGCCACTGCGCCCAGCTATAAACTATAAGCGTTTAATTTTGATGAAGTCCAATTCATCTAGGTCTTCTTTTGTGGTTTGTGCTTTGGACGCCGAGGAGGACCCAAGGTCATGGAGATTTACCCCTCTGCTTTCTTCTCAGAGCTGTCTGGTTCCGGCCTCCCATTTCGCTCTTTGATCTATTTGGATCTATTTTGAGCTAATAGCTGCCCCCGAGGGGTGAGGTGGAGGTACAACTCTGTCCTTCAGCATGTGAATGTCCAGTGGTCTCACCACCCTTTGTTGAAGAGACTATTTTTTTTTTCTCCTTGAACAGCCTTTGTGCCCTTGAAAACCAGCTGGCCTAGATCAATGGCTGGTCCATAAAAACAAACTGAAAAGTACTGTGTTGGGTGGAATCTCCACGCCGACACCGACACGGGCCAAGCCTGCCCTCCAGCTTCCCCTACAGGAGGGGGTCGCACAGGAAGAAGCCCACCCAGGGTCTCCCCGCCACCCAAGGTTTCTCCCCGAAACCCAAGGGCACGTGCTCAGAGGTCTTGTGGGCCAATCTGCTGGCCTAACAATGCCTGGTCCACAAGCCCTGGCCCAGGCCTAGGAAGGACGTGTGGGCAGAGATGGGCCCCATCCAGGACAATGGCCATGTCCCCCCCTTTTTTTTAATATTTATTTTTTAGATTTTTTTTTTTAGGTGGACACCATATCTTTATTTTACATTTATGTGGGGCTGAGGATGGAACCCAGTGCCTCATGCATGTTAGGCGAGCGCTCTACCACTGAGCCACAATCCCAGCCCCCATGTCCCCTTTTTAGGAGGCCAACACTGCCACATAGCACCCCCTGGTCAGCTGCCTTCAGGTCCTGAGAAAGCGATGTCAGGACTCACGTACTGACCATGCCGTGTGCACGCTGACTCTCAATGAAGCCAGGTGACCTGGGAGCCAGCCCGGCCCTCACCACACGCCTCTGACCAGAACCCTTTCCAATGCTGCTATAAAAAACAGACTTCCTGCGTGTGACCTCCTGGGGTGTGACATTGAGGGGACAACCATTTCCTTTTCCCTCCTCACTTGTCATCCTGCCAGCTTGTGTGTGAGTGTGTTCACGTACGTGCTCTCCCACTCCGCTACACCCTCAGCTCTTTTTATCTTTTATTTTGAGAGTTAGAGGTGGAAGCTGGCCTTTACTTTGGATCCTCCTGCCTCAGCCTCCTGAGAAGCCGGGATTACAGGGATATCCCACTGGGCCCCGCTCACCCTGACAGCTTTTAAGCACAAATGAGGAGCTGTCTCCAGAACAGAGGGTGCCGTGGCCTCCTGCAGACACAGGAGTGGGCTCTTTCCTCTGGACTGGTGGAGTGGAGACGGTGATGGGGTACAAGGAGCGGGCAGGGGCCACCTCAGGGAGTGGGGCTCACCAGGACAGCGATGGCTTCGGGCAGAGGCCCACTGGTCTTGAGGCTGTCTTTGGCGTCCTCCACCGTGTGCTCCCACTCCAGGCCCAGGGCGGTGAAGGTCCGGCCTGTGGCCTCCTTGCCCTTGGGGTTGAAGATGAAGCTGCCCGTGACCTGGTTCTTCACCACTGGCCGGGGGAGAGGGTCACACAGATTTCTATCCCCTGCTACGGGGCCAGTGCCTGCCAGTCAAGGCCTTCCCATGGGGCCCTCGGGGCTCCTGTCCAGCTGCCCCGCCTCCCACCTGAGCCCTCTGTACACAGGTCAACCCAGTGCCCCCTGCATGCGCTGTCTCTGCCTCTGGACCCTGCTGCACCACGGCTCCCCTTCGCTGCCTTCCCTGCATCCTGACTAACTCACTTCTGCCCACCACCAAGGCCCAGCATAACCCCCTCCTCAGATAGCCCGGCTCAGGGACGCGGCCCTCTCTGAAGCTTCTGCAGCAGAGCAGAGGCTGGGCCCAGGTTCTGGAGCCAGACGGACCAGGGGGAAGTCATGCAGCACGCCTGGATGCTGCCTCCACCTCTCCACCTGTGAGACGGGACTGGTGATCCACCCCACTCCACGGGCTGCCATCCCAGGCGGATACTAGCATACCCCACCCCCTGTGGGGCTGCTGGGCAGGGAAGGGGTTCACAGGTGCAGGAGCCCTGGCAGAGGAGGCACGTGCCCAGGCCCTGGGGGCTTCACAGGCTGTGGGTTATCACAGACGCCTCGCCCTGCCCAGCAGCCTGACGGCACAGCGCCAGCTCCCGCCCAGCCCAGGGCCACAGGGAGCAGGAGGTTTGAGAATATCCATGAATTTCTATCCCTATATGTCCCAGTCAGTGAGGAACTTGTTACTAAAGAGGCTGAGTGGCAGGTAGGTGGAGTCGTGCCGAAGCAGAGGCCCAGCCAAGGCCCGTGGGTGTTCCCTTGGCCACCCTAGGAGCAACCAAGGTAGGGGAAGGGTAGAAACATGGGACCCCAGCCCCTTAGCCGAAGAGCGAGAGGGGAGCAAAGGATTGGCGCCCTGGGGTGTCCAGATGGGAGGCCCTTTTGAGCCCCATCATCTAGGTTAAAATGAGGATGATAAAGCCGCGCACGGTGGCACAGGTCCCAGCAGCTCCCAAGCCTGAGGCAGGAGGATCTCGAGTTCAAAGCCAGCCTCGGCAACTTAGCAAGGCACTAAGCAACTCAGTGAGACCCTGTCTCTAAATAAAATACAAAATAGGGCTGAGGATGTGGATCAGAGTTAAGTACCCTGGGGTTCAGTCCCCAGTACCAAAAAATAATAACAAAAATAAAAAGAGGGTAGTTGCAACCTAAGAGCTAACCAGGAGCCGGTCACTCTGCTAGCTCTTCAGGTGACCCCTTGCTGAGACCCTAAGGGCCAGGCTACAACAATCCACACAGGGGATCTGAGGCTCCCTGGGGCCGGGGTCTGCCCTGGCGGGAGGGGAGGCAGCAACCACAGGGAAGGGGGAGGGGAGCAGAGTCTCCCCTTCCTGGGAGCTGCCCCTCACCTCCTTCCCTCCAGGGCCTCTTCCACGGCTGCCCAGTCCCTCTGCCCTAAGACTGCCTGCCCTAGTGCTGGGCAGCACCTCAGGCCAGGTTCAGCCCGAGTTCCCCACTGCCCTCGGCCACTCCTGCAGCTCATGGCCACTGTCACGGTCACCTGGCTGTAATTTCTCATTCCAGGGGTGAGGTTGGGCCAGCGTGACTCCACCACCCAGACCCAGCTCTGCCCCGAGCTTCTTGTCACCACCAGCCACTACCTAACCTTTCTGAGCCTATTTCCTCAACTGTAAAAATGGGGTCACAGTTGCCTTCCTAGATTGTCGTGAGGCTCACATAAGATAATGGAAGAAAGAGGGTTCAAGTTTGGACAGAGCCTTGGCCTTCAGTGCAGAGGCTGCTACCTGTCCCCGGCTTCTGCAGAGAGCACACGCCCTGCAGGCCATGTGCATGCACGCGCACACACACGCACGTACCTATTCTCACTCGCGTACCTACTGAGGGCCACCATGAACCTACACACATAAGTGCTTGACACAAATACATCTCATCTCTAAGGTCGCCCTGCTCCTGCTCCCTCCAGGATCCCAGAATGTTCCCACCCTTTGCCTGGTCCCATAAGAACAGCTCAGCCACATGGACTGTTCCCCACCTGTGGGGGTCAAGGACCTAGACTTCTGCAGGGTAGAGGGGCTGACTGCTAACGCAGCCTCATCTGCAGGGAGGCAGGAGAGGCATCTGGGGAAAACGTGCCTCCCCCCTGCCCCAGCCCACCCCTACATCCTGCAGGAGATCTCTGAACTGTCCCCAAAGCTCATGCTATAGCACAGACCCAGACTGGCTCTGCCCCCACTCCTGGGCTAACTGGAGCACACAGAGGGCCTGAGTGTCCATTCGTGCCTATGGCCTGTGTGTACCGTGTCCTTTCGGGGGGCCTCCCAGAGCAGGTGAGGCAAACATCTTCTCCAGGGAACACAAGTTCTCCAGGAAAATTTTTAAAATTTTTATAGCATTATATTAACAATAATCTAAAAATCTGGCTGTTGGCATTTTCATGATATTTGAGCTCACCAAGAAATGTTTCGTGTTAGTGTTTATGATGGAGAAGGTGCCACGCAGTGCGACCTAGGGGCATAATAGAACAGAGGAGCCTCTGTGACAAACCAAGGTGACATTGCAGTGCTTGGGCCCTCTGTGAGGGCTCTGAACGCAGGCGCGTGTTCAGAGGAGAGCCCACCTGCTACCTGCTGCTGGTGGCCCCCAGGCCCTGCTCCAAACCCTGGAGCAACAAGCCTGCATCTCAGGTAGAGTTCACAGTGGCACAGTCCACCCTGAGGAAGTGGGCAATTCCGTGATGCTTTAGAACATTCACCACATCGCCGTGGGTCAGGGTTTAGGTGTGGTGACCCCCGAGTGCTCACACGTGAGACAATGCAAGAAGGTTTGGAGGAGAAATGATTGGGTTACAGCTTTAACCTCATCAGTCAATCCCTGCAGTGGCAGGGAGTGGCTGCAGGAGGTGGGAACTGGGGCGTGGCTTTGGGGTATATATTTGTATCTGGCAAGTGGAGGCTCCTCTGCTCTCTGATCATGATGTGAGCTGCTTCCCTCTGCCACTCTCTTCCACCATGATGGTCAGCCTCCCCTTGAACCCCGAGCTGGCGGAGCCAGGCTTCTATGGACTAAGAACTCTGAAACCGAGAGCCTTCAAATAAACTTTTCCTCCTCTCCAGTTGTGCTGGTCAGATCCTTTAGTCACAGCCATTGCAATTCCAGAACATTTTCATTACCCCCCAAAGAAACCCAAAGCCCATTAGTTATTACCCATTTCCTCCCCGTGGGCCCTGGCCACCACAAATCTATTTTACATGGATGTAGATACGCTGATTTATTCTTTTACTTTTGGTTCATGTGTTGTTGGGGATGGAACTCAGGGCCTTGCACATGCTAAGCACATACTTTACTACTGAGCTACACGTCCCCACCCCAAGGTCTGGAGTCATTTATTTTTCTGACTGCCCAATTTGGTTTCATCAAAACTAAAGCAAAATAAATCAACAAAAATATCTCTTACATTATGTTAATATTCTTAGTTTGAATTATTTTAACTAATTTGAATCTTTTCATTTCTCTCAGGGTTCTGATTTTTAATCTGTCCTGGCTTCATAGCTCTGTGACCGTGACAAGCATGGAGGGTAGACACCTCACATAGTGACTGTGTTTAAGTATTGTTATAACAGGAGTAACTTCAGGGTCCCCAAGGTGGAATGCAGAAATGTTACAAGTTTCCCCCATTCCTACAGGCAAGGCCCCCCCGGACTGTGACTTGACTATTTCTCCCAACCACAATCTGATTTTCTTCCCTTTGAACCTGAGCTTGGCTGTGTGACTTGGATCAAAGGGACATTGGAAACATGCTGTGAATAATCCCAGTTAGCCTGTTGTCACATATGGCCCTGTCACCCTTATGATCCCAGCTCATACATCCTAGACCAACTAGTCCCCAACAGACCTACCAGCTGACAGGATTTGCACAGGTCCATCTAAGCAGCAGCAGAACCACCCAGCTGAGCCCAGCCCTGAGACTGACTCATAGAACTGTGAGCTAAGAAATGACTGTTGTTTGGAGCTACTGTTTTGAGGGCTATATGTTATGCAGCAAAAGCTGACAGATACACTCTGTGAAAATGGTTTTCCTTTAAAAGCCATCCACATGGACAAGAAGGTTTCGCCTGAGGAAAAAAACAATCTCTGTGTGACAGGGGTGCAAGGGGGACTCTTAACTAGATTTCCTTCTAGACCTTCTGAAATTTGAACCAAGGGACAAGTCACCCATTCAGCATATGTTTAGAAATAAAATAAAAGGGATTCTGTGTCATCATTCAAGTCTGTGGACGTCCACCTGTCCTCTGTTCTCCCAGAATTCCTGGACCTGCGGGCAGGGCCCGGGGCCTGCCACCTCTCCCAGCACCCAGCACTCACCAATGCGGTGGGGGGCCTTCTCCAGCGCCTCCATCTGGATGTGCCTGGCACCTGCCGGGATCTGCACCAGTTTGGCAGCTGCTCCTGCACAGAAGTTTCCAGAAAAGCAGAAATCGCCCTGAGTTGGTGGCCCATTGCCTGTCACCCCACCTTATTCACTTGTAGAACCTCTCACTTAATCAGGAACATCTTACTCCACCCCAGAACCTCTCTGAACTTGTGTCCTCCTCGGCAAAGCAGGGATGGGACCTGCTCCCCCAGGGGATCCAATGGCAGGTCACAGCTTCGGGCACCCTATAAACACGTGGGCAAGGTGTGGCTATTATGCCCCCTCCCTTGGCCCAGCTCTCTCACTCTCCCCTTTCTCCTCCTTTCCCCCCTCTGGCCTCAGCTCCCCTTCTTTTCACACCTTAGAATACTAGGAGGATTTCAATGAAATAGGCCACAAGATCCCAGGTGGCTGTCCTGGGCCCCCGTGGCCCTCCCACTCCAAGGCCTAGAACCAAGCCTTTCTCAGAGTCGCCAACCTTCTGCCGTCACATACAAGGAAAGACAAAGCGAAACTATAAAATCCCCACCCCGGGGACACCGAAAGGGAGATCTAGTTCACACTAACATGTGAAGGACTACTACCAGCTGACCCTTTCCACATGGAGTTTGATCAGATTGGAGGTGGGGAGCCAAGGAACTCAGAGATACCAGGAGTCCAAAGCAAGAGGTACCACAGGTTGAAAGAAGACGAGAGAGGGGAGAAGGAGGAAGAGGAGAAAGAGGAGGAAGAGGAAGAGGAAGACAGATGGCCACACCTTCAGACCTATCTGACCCTCGCCCCACCAACAGCCCTGATGCCAATGAGTCGGCGGGGCTCCCAGCACGACACGCCACCCAGCAGGAGGGTGCTTCTCCGAGATCCCAGGCCCAGTGCCCGGAAGACGGGGTGAGGGCTGCTGCTTCTGGCTCACCAACCCCTGGGCAGCCTGGGGAGGTCTGGGGACAGGCTCAGGGCCCCTCCACCCCACACTGAACCATGGCACAGATCAAGGAGGAGGGCCCAGCCCAGCTCACCTGCCTGCTTGGAAGCTTTGCCCAGAGTCCCCTTCACGGTCCTGCAGTGGGAGTTGTCACCGCCGCAGACCCCGCACTTGTCATCAGCCTTCATGGACCCCACCTCCTTGTCACAGCCAACAGGCTGCGGCCAGAGGTGAGATGAGCGGAAAGAACCCTGCACCCGGCCCCTGAAGCCCGTGGCTCCCTCCCGGTCCCCAGGCCTCGGCCTAGAGAGGAACCCTAGGCAGAAGGTACCCAAAGACAGGTCGCCCTCAGATCCGCCATGCAACCTGGTCTTGAACCCCGTGTGGTGACGATTCTTGACATCTCCTCTCCCCTTGAATGGGCTAGACAGTAAGTGACCCCTTCTAGCACCCCAGGGCTGTGTCAAGGACCAAGGGGGTGTCCCGGGTGCGGCAGGTGCAGGCATGCTTATCTTCCTAAGGAGCACGGGACGGGGACGGAGCCCCCCTCCAGTCTCCAAGAACCAGCAGAGATGGGTGACCTGGAGGGGGCACCCACCACACACTCGCCACGGGCACAGAGGCTGTAAGGGTCCCGGTAGCTGCAGCGCGTCCCGTCGTGGACCACCTGGTTCATGAACACCACGTCTCCCGTGTCTGCCGACTGGCAGATGAGCTCACACTTCTGGGTGTCTGTGGGGAGAAATGCCACGGTGATCCCCGCACTGGGCTTGCAGAGAGCAGGCAGCCCAGGACGACATCAGCCTGCCATCAGCCTGCGGTGCAGCCCAGAAGCCCCCCCACAGCCCGGTACACCACCCCCCACCGGCTCTGCACAGCAGGGGGATCACTGTGTGTGTGTGTGTGTGTGTGTGTGTGTGTGTGTGTGTGTGTATGTGGAGCCTGGGCAGAAAATCCCTGCTCTGGCGCGTGCTAATTAGTCACATCTCCGTCTCCCAGGGCAAGTGCTTTGACCTCTCAGAGCTTATTTCATTATCCCTGGTCAGCAGAGTGCCACATCGGGATATCGAGAAAAATCAAGTGACAAAATAATACCCAAAATAATAAGCCAAGGCTTAGTGGCTGCGTCCTAGGTATCAAAGCCTACGCACACCCTGATGTACAACTTGAAATGCTTTTTGTGAACTGACTCGTTTAACCCTCTCAACACCCCAGGGAGGTAGGTTCTAGAATGACCGAGGAGGAAACCGAGAGAAGAGGCAACACGGTGATTCAGCAGGACCCGCCCCAGCAGCCGAGCACACCGTGGTCTGACCCTGCATCTGAACACTTTTATACACCTCAAAAGTGGTGGACAAGGCAGGCAGGCGGTGGGCTGGATTGGGGTTTGTAAATGGAGCGGCAGAAAGGGAGGGAAGAGGGCCCTTTCTGGTTCAAACTATGAAAATGTTCTCTTCTCTCTGGGCTGCTGATGACCTAAGAAGGAGGTTCCAGAGAAAATATAAACACTTGCTGTGCTTCTTAGAAAAAGCGAGACTGGGGGCTTAACCAGCTTCCTGGAATTTGTCTAGAAGTCCTGGGAAAAGCCCAAAGTCCAGCTGCCCAGGGCCTCCCAGCCTTCCCCTCCCTGCCCCATTTTGCTACTGACCAGACCCGGAAGCCTTCCAAGTCCAGCCTCTCTCTCCCACAGCCCATTTCTAAGGAACCTGTCTGGCTCCTGCTTCCAGACCCTGAGCTCCCAGGCCACTCGGTGACTCGCCGCCAACATTCAGGCCCCCAGCCTGGAGCCCCCACAACACACTGCCTTGGTTTCTCTGCACGGGAGTCAGGCAGGGTCCTGGCCAGTGCGACCAGGCAGGAGGGGTCTGGGAGTCCAGGGGAGCCAGCCGACTTCCAAGATATCCCCTGCAAGGGTGCTCCAAAGGGTGTGGCCATGACAGGCCCCTGAGTTCCCTTCCAGTTTGAGGATTCTGTCATTCTAAACATGAGCCAGGGAGCATGGGGTCCTGGGGTAAACCCTGGGCTCAGGGAATGAGAGGCCACTCTCATGGGAGCTGTCTGGAGCCCAGGGCAGCACGGCAAGCAGCATCTACCGACAGGGAAACACAGGAGCTTGGGGCAAGAGATGGGCTCCGAGGGCTGGGCAGGGCCCCCCAGCCTGAAGGCTCTAAGGTGCCATGAACATGGGCCCCACAGGAGGACCCAACGCAGACAGTGACTGACACCAGCACGGTCCCCAAACTCAGACCCTCTGTGTGAGTGCTGAGGCCCGTGTGACCATCCAAGGCAGCCTGAAGGGGTCCCTCTGCCTGCCTTTCAAATCACCTCCAGTGACCGCTGGAACGGAGACCTGGTCAGCACCAGGTAAGAACCCGGCATGGGATACAACTGAGCTTCCGGTGACACTGGTCACGTGAAGCGAGAGGCACCTGAGGCCCTGGGGAGGCCTGGGAGACCCCAGGGACAAATTCCAGGAAGTGATGTGAGCTCCAACCTCACTTTTCCTAGGGAGCACAGTGCTCCTGTGTTCTCTGGAACATTCTTAGGACAGATGCTCACCCGTGCAGGCAAGCCCAGAGGTCTGAAAGGCACCGGCCCCAACTGCAGCCTGCAGGGTTCTACAGCACCCCTGGGAAAAGCACCCCCCCCCACCGCCCCCGGCCACTTGTATCTGCAGGGACACCGTGATCAGAGCATGCCATCAAGGGAGGGTCCAGATGGGGACCCCAGGGTCACCACGCACAGGCCTGCACGAAGATCCGTGGCCACACTCATGACGGCAATGTCCCTTTCGGCACCTCCACGTCCCACACCTCCACGGATGGGAACACCTGAGGGAGGAACTTCCTGGGAACACACAGCCCCGGTGGACACCAGGACACGGGGGGGTGGGCGCGGGGCCGCTCACCATCCTCAGACTCGTAGGGCAGCCAGCTGTGCTTGGTGTTCTGGTGGGTGTAGTAGGAGTTCCGCTTGGCACACTGCTGGGCCCGGAAGTCCTCGTAGGGCCCGGGGCACTCCTCGGGGTTGCAGACCTGGTACTCGAAGGAGGGCCCTGAGCACAGGCGGCCTCCGTAGGCTGGGCTAGGGTGGCACAGAGAGACCAGGTGACCTGGCGGGTTGATGGGGCAGGTGGGGGCTTTCAGGGGCAGCTCAGCCAGCATCAAAGGGCTCCACTAACTTATCAAGCCACCCGCAGCATGGCCGCTGAGCTGCGCCTCCCAGACCCTCCCTCCCCCTCCTTGGGGCACACATCACCTGTTCCACTGTGTGCCGGGGTGAGGGGGCAGGCAGATGGACACTAGGACCCATTAACCATGCAGTAGGCACTTAATAAATAACTCAATGCTGTCTATTTGCATCCGCATCCATTTAATCTCATAATACACTAAAGAGTGGTCCAGGAGACTTGGATTGGAATCAGAAGAGCATGGCGCCCAAGTCCTGGCCATGCACCTTGATCAAGTCACTAGGCTTTGCCTGAATTTCCCTTTGAAAAGAGGGCCCATCGTACCTGCCTACTGGTGTCTGTAAAAATGATAAGAAGTCAAGAGGATTAAAGCTACTGATATAAGAATCCAAGGGCATGAGGTTAATCACACCCTGCTCACAGATGCTGGAGAATTACAGGGGCGTCTGCGATTAAGTGCTTAGCATCCTGTCTAGCCCCGACCAAATGCTCAGTGTACTCTGTTAATAATAATTGTAACAACTATCTTGATATTCGCTAGTGTCTATTAAGTGCTTAATCTCTGCTGGGCATGGTGCTGAGGGCACATGTTATTTCATTTAAGCCTCAAAAAATAAAACCAGCTATTATTACAAAGGAGCACAATGGACGGCTGCTTTGATCCAGGGGATAACTGCAGGTCATGACTGCGAGGTGATGGAGCGGGGGTGCCACTGGACCTTCCCGTCACCTTGGCTTTTGTATCTCCCACAGGTGAAGACTACCAGGAGGTCCACCTCGGCTCCATCTGCAGGAGGTCAGTACAGCTGTCTATGAAGGCACGGCTGTTTCAGTAAGCGGTGAGCCTCTATCCCCGCGGGGAAGCAGTGGAGTGTGGGGTCACTAACTAGGAGGATACCAGAGCCACTGTGGTCCTGTGATCTGTCCTTTGGCAGTATTCATCACACCACTTGGAGCCAGGAGGAAGCTGGACCAGGCCCTGTCCATGTGAAGGTCCCTAGGAACAGCTGACCCGCCAGACAGCCTCTGCCAGTCCCCATCTCTCATGAGGCTACCCTAAGCAAGCTGCTTTGGCTTGGGAAATGGGGACCATGAAGATCTGGGAAATTCTGAAACCATGGAGCAGGGGAGGGGATCCCACAGAGGGGATGAGAAGGGACAAATATCTTTCCAGAATGCTGAGGTTGGGTAGGGGCACAAGGACCTTGTTAGAAAGAGGTAAGTTTAGAAAAAGGAAGTTCTGTTCCATGCAGTAGGAAATAAACTTGGGGATCATGTGCAACACATTTCATGGGGGAGGGGGGGGACTTGATTGACAGTGTCTTGGGTCCACCCAGACCCTCTGGAGAATCTTCTATACATGAGAATTTGAGAATCCCAATTCCGAAACACTCACAAGAGTGAGAAATGATGGGTCACTGGGGAATGACTTGCCCCAGCCCTGACAATCTTGGGTCCTCATCCATAGAACACACAGGAGCCATTCTCTGTCCCCCACCACCATCTTCCCCTCCAAGACCCTCAGCCCACCCACCAAGTGCACTCACGGAGGGTTGTCACAGCTCCGGCTGCGGGATCTCACTCCACCCCCACAGGACCGAGAACATGACCCAAACTTGGTCCAGGAGCTCCAGCCTCCATCCTGGCCATAAATCTGCTCCGGCGACTTCCAGATGCAGTAACCTTTGAAACACCACTGGGGTGAAGTAGAGGGCACGAGGTCACCCTGGACCACTGCAGCAGAGCCTGCTCGGGTGGGTACTCAAGAGGACACAAGGCACAGCTGGGCACCGGACACCATGGGAGAGCCCAGAAAAAGAGACATTGAGAGAGGAGCTGGGGGTGGACAGGGTCCCACCCCTGTCACCAGCTGAGCAACCTCGGACAGAGGGTTCGCCTTCCTGAGCCTCATCTTCAACAGTACCACGGGGATAACTGCCCCTCACTACAGAATTCAGTGCAGGGAGCACACGCAGCTCCAGAAATAGCAGAGCGTATTGAATGAGATTAATGAGGAGAATAAATATGCAATTAGTTCAATCATCAGCCAGGAGCAATAAAAGGAGGAGGAGACCAACCTTCCCAGGCTATCTAGATCTGATCTTGGCTATGCACTTGACTTTCCTTCCTGGGGCCACAAGCAGATGTGTCCCTGGAGTCAAGCAGGCCAGGGGGGCCTGCCCTGCAGTGTGGGCAGCAGAAGCATGGAGTCCCAGAGGCCCAGGCTGGAGCCCCAGTTCGGCCATGACCAACTGGGTGGGCCACTATTCCTGCTGAGCCTGGGTGCACTCACCTGCTCACCAGGGCTATTGCAGAGCGGCAGCACCAGCCCCTGCAGAGCTGGAGCTGGGCTCTCCAAGGAGGGAAACACCCTCTCTTTTGCTTTAGGCTAACATGAAAGAGCCAAAGCAAAGTTCTCTGGGCCTTTCTCAAGAGATGAGCTCAGCAATTCTTAATCTTGGAGTCATAGGGTAGGGGGTGGGGGGCCCTTAAAACTCCAGATGCCTGGGCTTCCTGCAGACCAGCTAAGCCGAAATCCCCAGGGGAAAGGGCTCTCAGAAGCTATGGTGGGGCACGGCTTACAAGGCAGAAAAGTCACTCATTGTGGGAGTCGTGCAACTTTCACCAAAATCCAATTTCAGAACACTTCCACCACCCCCAAAAGACCCTCTGGGTCCACGTGCAGTCACTCCCTGTTCTAGGGGTGGGGAGTTTAAAAGCTCCCTGGGTGATTCCAACATGCAGCCCAAACTGAGACTCACAGATTAACTCTTTATGTGAAATTGTGACTGGGGAGGGCCTGGGACTTTGAAACCACCTGGGGAAATTTAAGAAGCAGAAAGACCTGGAGTAGATAAAGCTGTCTAGGAAGGGAACCAACCAGGTTTGGAGCCCACGGGGCACATCCAGGGCTAGGAAGCCCCATCCATCTGTGAAGGCACAAACCTGGGAGATGCCCAGCAAGGCCAGTAGGAGGGCTGAGCCTGGCTAGGGCAGAGGCCACAGGTCAGAGGGCAAGCTGGGGGTAGGGCACTGGGCTCATGGCTGATGCTAAGCAAAAACCTCTCTGAACCATCCTGCTTCTCCTTGGCTCCTTTACTTGCTTTGACCTGACCCTATAACCTCCATCTTGAGGCATGGGAAGAAGGCTTGGTCAGGGATAAGCAGCCTCAGCAGGGCTGGAGAAGTTCAATGAATGGCCCAAGGTCACCAACACACCAGGGCAGGGCCAGCAAGAGAGCAGAACCCCAGCTCAGGGTCCTCAGACCCAGGAACGAGGTCCCCTGACCAAAGCAGCCCTGGCACCCAGGCATGCACAAAGGAGCAAACACCCACCAGGAATACCTAACACTGAGGGAGAAAGGGACAGCTTGGGGCTGGGAGTGGATGCCTGGAGTCTTCCTTCAATCCCCCGTAGGCTAATCACTCCTTATATGGCCCTAACAAATTCCTTGACCTGCTCGGACCTCATTTTTCTCATCTGTAAAACGGGGCAAGCATTCCTGCTGACGGGTTATGAGATCCTGCTACACCTGGCCGACTGCGGAGGCGAAGGGCTCCCGTGCGGAGGGGAAGCGTAGTGCGTGGGAGGCTGCAGGAGACTCCTGGCAGATCTGCTGCCCTGTCCTTTGGCACTGCCCCTCCTTCACGTATACACAGGCCTGGGGCCTCCAGGATCTGCACCTGTCCCGGCCAGGGATGTCCCACCCCCGGGGAAGCACTTCCGCTTCAGACCCTGCAGCTACCTTGCCTGGCGCACACTCGGTCCCATCCAGCGGGGGCCCCTTCTTGGTCTTGCAGAAGTACGGGTTGTCCGGGTGGCTGCACCACAGCTGTTTGCAGGGCTCAAAGGTCCTGAACTGTGTGGCAAAAGGATTGGGTCACCAGGCTGACTCTCCAGCCCTCACAAGTTGTCCAGGGGGCAGGGGGTGGCGGTGGAGAGAGGGAGGTGTGGTGGGTGCCCAGGAAACCTCGAGGAAACCAGAGCTCACACACCCTCAAGCTCCTCTCACCCCAAGTGCCACTGGCTCCCAGGACTCCTCTTCTCCCCATTAGGAGCCGTCCTCTCCTGGCTATCTTTCCCTAATCTGCAGAAGCTACCTGGGACAAGAGTTTCAGGCTCTGAGGAGTTCTCAGATTCCTGTGCATATGGGGGATGCTGAAGGGACACCGCTAAGGTTGAGGCCCCCATCTCCCTCTAAGGTGGACATCCAGCAAGGCCAGAGGTGGGTGATCGTACGTTCTAGACTGTCCTGGAAAGCCCCAGGGGCCTCATCCCCACCCACCAGACGAGCATCCCACCAACACAGCATTTGGGCACTGAAATCCCACACCCCGTCCTTCCATCCCAAAGCTGTGCTGTGTCAGACCACACATCCCAGCATGGCCTGGAGAGAAGGGAAGGTGACCACATACAGGGGCTCCTCATGGTACCAAAGAGAGCCTCTGTCCCATGCAGGTGAGGGCTCTGAATACCCTACGTGGGGGGTACAAAGCGCTTGGATCACCCAGGCCTCCCCTTCAGAAAGTGCCCTGCCCTCTGATGTCACCTTATCAGAGCCTCAGCCAGGGCCACAGGTAGCACAGTTTGGTTCTTTCCCGGGTGATTTGAGCTGATCTCTAGGCTTAAGGGCCTCCCTTCCTGTCCTGCAGGGTGGACCAGGGTTTTGCTCCTGGTATCTGCAATCTCGGGCGTAAGGATGGGGGGCGGGGGAAAGGACGTGACGCCCCTGGAGAGAGGTGATATGCAGGTACAGAGGTGCTCCCAAGGACCAGAACCTGATCTAACACCTGGACGGCTCCCCACGTGAACCCCCAGGGAGCAGCCAGCCAGGGCCTCCCTCCCTGGGCTACTCCTACCATCTTTCCCAGGGCAGAGGCTGTTCAAGCCCCCTGACATACCTGTCCCCACAAGCCGACCCGGGCAGGGCCTGCGACCTGTCCACCCTGCTCCTCCCTGGACCAGGCTGACTGACGGTCCAGGTGGAAGGTACCCTGTGAACCAACAGCTTGGCTCATGGAAGGACATGGCCCTGGCGTCCCTGGCCTGCAGAGGCCCAGGGAATACTCACTGCCAAGCAGGTCTGGTAGCCGGTGCCGAAGTCAAAGCGGCACTGTTCGTCCATTGAGTAGTCGATCCCGGGCAGCTCCGGGGGCTGCGGCCAGGTGGGTTCGAAGGGGTCATCCAGGAGGCAGTCGTAGGAGCTGCCAGAGAAACAAGGGGGTGAGCCGGGCCACAGGCAGGAGGTCCCTCGCTCTTCCTTGCCGGGGCTGGGGTTTCCAACAGGCACGCAGCCTGCAGGGATGGCAGGCCGCTCCTCCAGGGAGGAGGGCTGACCCGAGCAGCCCTGGCCGGGGGCTTGGTCTCTCCCAGTGACTGCGTGGGAGGGCTCCATCAGCAGAAGGGCAAGGGACCCAGGACTGGGGCTAGGAACTCCGTCACAGCTGGCCTAGGAGACCAATTTGACTCATGTTAAAGGGACAGGCACACCATGGCCAAGATTAAATTCGATTGGTGGATAACGTGAGGGCTTTCTGTGCCCTGAGGGGAGGGGCAAAGCCCAGCCCCTGGGCAGGAAGTGCACCGGGAAGCCTGGCCAGCTCCCTGCAGAGGTCCCGACCGCATCCCTGCCTCCAGCTGCCCACCTTGTCCACTCCGGCCCCTTCTCAGGCCTGGATCTCAACACTGGCCTTGCCCCTGGACATGCCCTCTCAGCCTGCCCCTTCTCTGGGCCTCTGGGGAGACAGAGATACCCCAGCCCAGGCCTGAGGCTCCCAGCCTTCAGCCTGGGTACTACCTGCAGGCTCGGTGAATCCAGAGTCCCAGGAGGACTGCCAGCTGACTCTCATTAGCATCTTGGGTGGGGCAGGGGTCTGGGTTTTTAATAAGAATTAAATGCAAGCCATCTCCGTGCACACACCCCCCCCCCTGTGATGCTGAGGGGGGGTGTTTATGTCAGATGGCTGGAGAGGGCCAGGTAGGGTATCGGTAGCCACCCTCTCCCCAGCCCCAGCCCCAGGGGCAGAGGTGACCTACGGGAGGTAGCGGCTGAGCTCCAGCTTGCTGCAGCGGGACCAGTGGAAGCGGTGGAAGGCAGCCTGCACCAGGGGCGCCATGACGCTGCCCAGGCTGGTCTCGTCCGCACAGCCGTTCCCCTGCCCGTCGTGCTCCATGCCGAGCCTGGAAGGCAGGGGACAGAGGGGAGGCCTGAGTCGTGCTGGGGTGCCCACCCCAGGGAAGACAGGCAGGCAGGCCGGAGGCAGGAGGCTGCGGGACCTGGAGAGGCAGAGCCCTCTCTCTCCAAGGCCACCAGGTGCAAAGCTGTGTCTGCCTGGGGCTCCTCTGTTCTCTCCTCCCAGCACCAGTCTCCCTCCTCAAACCCCACCCTCATCACTATCTCCCATGGCTAGCCCCACCCACTGCTGCTCCAGGACACCAGCCCAGGCCACCTGCCCGTGGGCTGTCGGCTACAGCACCCCCCATCCTGCCACCATCAACTCGAGCGCCACGTACGTCTCCCACCAGGCTGAAGGCACAGACTTAGGTCAGGAGATCTAGACCTTTCCCTGAGCCCTCCAGGTGCCACCCTTAAACTCTCCCAGACCCCAGACATACCCCAGAGCTCCGTGCTTGGTAGGTACTGCCCAAGATAGTTAAATTTTAAAACTTTGCTCTTTGTGGCTAGTATTTAATGCCAAAGCCCAAACCTCCCCATATTTTTAATAATTCCAGGTGGCAGCATCTGGCCCGGACCCCCAGGCAGACACATGGGCCCCCTAAGCTCATCCTTGTCTCTCCACAGGGAGGAGCCTCTGCTCAGGAAGAGTGGGCGCCCCTGTCCTCTCCAGGAAGAGGAACTCCTGGCTCCAGAGAGATGCAACCATCAGCTTCCACAGCAGGGAGGCACCGCCGTGTCGCTGGTGCCAGCCCCTGTGTCACAGTGGAGGTAACCAAGGCCCAGGGAGAGGAGGCACCACTGCTGTGGGAGAAACGGAGCCAAGGGCATCCCTTAGCCGTGCCTCTGTGGATGGAAGCCCAGACGCGTGGCCTGTGCACATTGTCACCTGACACAGGGGACGTGGCTCTTTCTTTCCAGTCCATCTGTTTCAGGTATCTCTCTCGGGCTCTCCACTGCAGCCCTGTTCCTAGAACAGGGCCTGCAAGAAACACCGGTTGAATGAATGAATGAATCTGCTGTAAACAACCTCGGTGCAGAGCCCACAGCCAGCCCCTGCTGGCCTGCTGCCTGGGCTTCAGTGTGCCTGTTTGTGATGGGCTCGGGCCAGCTCTCCCGTGAGCACAGGGCCCTGATGTGAGCTGGATCGGGTCTCACCAGGACCTTGAGGCAAGGGCAGGTGGAGGGAAGCCAGGGACGGAGACCACCCAGAAAACAAGCCCCAGCCTATGACAGGGACACTGCCACGGAACTTCCCAAAGGCAGGGCCACATCTGGTCCCCAGGCCCAGAATTGTTGTGGGGCCCTTGTTCCCTCTCCCTCAGGGCAGGGCCTCCCTCTCTGGGCACTCTGAGACCCCAGGCCTCAGCAGTAGACCAGCCTCACAGGTCTACCTGGGACGCTGGGACCACATCTGGGGAAAGCCTTCCCCCACAGGATTCCCTGGCGTTCATGGCCCAGCCCCCAGCACAGACCCACCGGTACCGCCCACCCTCCTGGTGCCACTTACACATGGCCGGTCTCGTGGGCCACCACAAAGGCAGAGGAGAAGCCATCCTCATGGTTGAGGGCACAGCTTCTCAGGGGGTGACACATGCCAGTGACAGGCGCATACCCTGCCAGGGAGAGGGGAGAGGGCAGAGAGAGAAGTCATAGGCACATGAGGCAGGACAGGCCAGGGTCGGTGCCCAGCCTGGCCACCTCAGGGACAGCCTGGCCTGTGCTGGAGGGTCCCTAGAGAAGAAGGATGCTCCCAAAGTCCTACCCACAGCAGAGCAGACCTGGGTAGCTGCCCCCACACCCTAGGGCTCGGTGGCTCCCTCCTGGCCTGGGGGCTCCTGCTGCCTCTTCCTCTAAGCAGAGGCGGGATTTCCAGGCAGATCTGAGCCTGCGCACACTCCAAGTCGGACTCCCTCCAGTCCTGGCGTCAGTCAGTCAGTCTGCAAACAAGCTTGGGAGGCCTTCTACGCTGAGGTAGAGGGTGACACTGTGTTAGACAGTATTGGGGGGGCTAGGCACGGTGGTGTGTGCCTCAGGTCCTAGCTGTTTGGAAGGCTGAGGCAGGAGGATGGCTTGAGCCCAGGAGGGTTTTTTTGGTTGACTTTGTTTTGTTTTGTTTGTACCAGGGATGGAACTCAGGGCCACTCAACCACTGAGCTACACCCCCAGCCCTTTTTAAAGTTTTATTTAGAGACCGGTCTCTCTGAGTTGCTTAGGGCCTCGCTCAGTTGCCAGGGCTGGCTTTGAACTCGCGATCCTTCTGCCTCAGCCTTCCAAGCCACTAGAATTAGAGGCGTGGGCCACCGTGCCCAGCCAAGCTCAGGAGTTTGAGACCAGTCTGGGCAACATAGCAAGACCCCATCTCAGGGGGAAAAAAAAAAAAAAACTTCTCTAGATATCATGGAGAAATCAGAGAAGAATCAAATCCATGCTCCTGCTCCCACCCCAGCACCCACCATTAAGGGAGGTCTGGTTTGGAGGAGGGGTGGTGAAGTGCTAGAGTTAGAGAGCGAGGGGTGGGGACAGTCCTGGATGAGCTGAAGGAAGGGGAAAGGAGTGGCTTCCAATGCAGGGGTTGAGGGGAGCAGGGAATGACATGTGGGCAGCAGAGGTGGCCTGGAGGACAGGAAAGATGACTCTCTAGAGGTCACAAAATATTGACTAAGGTGCAGTCAGGCCACACAGGAACCGTGGCAAGGCAACAGGCTGGCTTGGGTAACGACGGCGATGGGCAACGCTTACCAAGTGCCACTGTGTGCTAAGGCGCTACTTTCAAGACCAGCCCAGGGGCTGAGCTGGGGCTCAGTGGTAGAGCATGTGCTTAGCAGGCATGAGGCCCTGAGTTCCATCCCCAGCACCACCAAGCCAAACAGAAACAAAAACTCCTCACCAGGTTATGGGCTGGGAGGGCAGATGGAACTGGGCCTGCAGAGAGAACATCCCCTGGCCTAGAGCTGCTAAGCGCACTCTCATTTGACACGGTGTGGGGAGCCTAATGAAAAGCTGTGGTGGGAAGGAGGTCTGGGACTGGCCACCTGCCCTGTCATTACATATGTACATGGGTCTGGGTATCCACATGTGTGTCTGTACGTGTGCACGCTGCATCTTGCATCTGCATGCATGCGTCTGTCCGCCACATTTGGGCCGTCAGTGATTCGTATGAGAAACCCTTGGATAGGCAGGGTGGGCTCACTTATTTCCAGCATTAAAACCAGAAAAAACTAGAAAGCCCTCAACGTAGGGCCTGGAGAACCATGTGGGCTCAGGCCTGTCTCCCAACTGCGGTGGGGCATGGGCAAGACTCTTCTCCATGCTCTGCCTCAGTTTCCCCATATGGGAAACCCGGGGGTCAAAGTCACACGTTTGCAGATGCTCAGTTGCCGGTACACTGTCATGGACAGTTCATGCCTTCCACGGCCCTTTGAGCAGCCATGGAACGAAGGAAGACATAGAGTACTGTTCTCCCCATTTGAGAGTTGGAATAACCCAGAGGATGATGAGATCTTGGATCCCTGGGCAGTGATGCTTGGAGCAGGGTGGACTGCCTTTCCTGCAGGCCACACGACTGTCCCCCAAGTGCTCACAATCTACAACAAGGATAGCAGGACATGATGTGGACAGAAATATCTTAAAAGTCACCCGGGGGGTCTTTAAGAAGCCAGGCTCTGGGACATTAAGCACCAGGCCCAGGGCTTGACCACTCCCAGCTGCCTGCAGGCTGAACTAAAAGAATGGGCACCTGCGCGGGGACCCTTTGACTCGCCCTGGTCTCCAAGTTCACCCATCTGTCCACCCAGGTCCTGAACCCTCCCACTGACCTGGGGCAGGCCCCACAGGAAGTCCGTCCACCCCCTGGCCCAGCCCACGGTACCTGGCATACCTGAGGGCCCAAAGTTCTGCCGGGTGAGGAAGATGACGTGGTCATGGTGCTCCGCGTGGCCGGGGTCCTGGCGCTGCTGGGAGTGTGCCCAGCGACACACCTGTTCCAGGCTGCGAGAGGGGTTCCCACGCTCGATCAGGCTCAGAGACTGCGGGGGGAGGGGCAGCAACAGCAGAGTGGTCAGAGCCCGGGTGCCAGAGGCCGCTCTCCCTCCACTATGTTGGAGGCCCCAAGGCCCAGGGGACGGCAGTGCGCATTCCAGACATCCCCAGCTCTCTGCACGTGGCTGCCCCTGGCACACAGCCTTCCCTGCTTCAGGGGTGTTCACCAGCCACCCCCGTGCCGTGCCCATGCGTGTGTCCCTGAGGAATGACACATGCTATTCCCAACCCCTCAACTAAGCGTCCAGGCGGAGCTGTTCTGAGCGTCACACGACACTCCATTCACTTCCTCCTCTCGTCTTCTCAGCTGCCCGTGGAGGGAAGCTCAGCTGTTACCCCATATGGAGAATGAGTGACTGGCCTAAGAGTGGAGAGCCGGGGCTCAGCCTGTCAGGGCCTTCCTGGGTCAGTGCCTCAGTTTCCCTTCAGTTCCCCAAGAAGAGGGACCAGGACTGTCAGTTCCCCTCCCGAAGACGTGGCAGGTTCCCCAACACCTGCAGCCTGGTTTCCCGGATGCTGGCCCACATGGCTGCTCCTACCCTCGCTCCAAACCCCACCTGCTGATAGGCGGGGCCTCACCTGGCGGTAGCCGACCATGACCAGACGGACGAGGACGATGTTCACGTGGGCCCCCAGGGACTCGTCGTGGTAAATCTCATCCACCTGCAAGGACAAGAGCGCACATTCACCGGGAGCTTTCAACACGCCAGGTCCTGGGTCCGGTATCCCCCGGTGGTACCCCACTTCACCCCACCATGGCCTCATCAGACAGGCATTCCTATCCCCACCTTACCAGGGAGGAAACTGAGGTTGAGAGGTCACCTGACTTGCCCAGGGACACACAGCTAACAGGAGCTGGGAGTCGGGTCCTGGAGCCCTCAATCCCAGTGCTGAGCTCTTTCTGTGATGCCAAAGCGAGTGTGGGGAGGGAAAGTGGGCAGTGTCCAACTCAAGCCCCTGACCAGACGCTCATCTTTCCACATCCCTGAAGAGGCCCTGCCTGGGAACCCTGGCTCGAGCCCCCCGGCCTTTTCAATTGCCCCTGGAGCAGCAGCTTTTCCCCTACTGCCAGGCAGAGATCACATTTTGCTTGTTTCATGGAAAATATTCTGTGTCTTTACAAGCATGATAAATGCATGGGGTGTGCTGTCGTTCCTATAAATAATTCCCCAGATGGAGCTTCAGAGACTCACAGAGAAATGACTTGCTCAAGAAGAGACACAGCAATGGTGAAGTGTCTCCTGGAGTCCTCAGTTCAAGTCCCAGCCCTGCCCTTTGTGAGCCCGCTGATTGGGACACAACAGGGAATCCCTTAGAACCTCTGTTTCTTTTTCTGCAGAATGGGGATAATAATGGCTATCTCAACATCTGGAAACCACGAAGGAGTGGCATAAGCCCAGAGGCTTGGTCAGCCATCAGCGATGGAGGCAGAAGTGGAGGCCAGCCTCTGACTCTTGCTCACATGGCGTGCTTCACAAGGAGCAGAAATGGAGTTTCATGGCCTAGTCTTACCACTTCCATCTCCCCCAGCCATCCAGTCATCAATTCTTTTCCACTCATAAGTAAAGAAACCTCACTTACAAAGAGACTGTTGTCCCCCAAACAGAAGAACAGTGCTTCCCACCACATGTGTGTGGGAGTCCCATGGGGGAGGGGAAGGCTGGAGGGGACCTGGAGACCTGCTCCCGTGGACACACCCCTCCAGGGCCAGCCAAGGCTGGAGCCAGGCTGTGGGCTCAGAGCTGCAGCAGCAGAAGCTCATGCACCACGGAGCCCCAGCCCTGCCCACTCTCCCAGTGCCCAGAACTGGCACCTGACCAGTTCATCAACATGCGGACTCCACAGCAGCCAGCATCAGGCTTCCTCACAAACCTTCCTGGCGCCCATGTCTGGATCCAGTTGAGTAATGAGACCAAAGCTTGTGCCCGCTGTGGGCAGGCAGCCCCTGCCAACTCCTCGCCACAAGGTAGGACAGACAGACCAATGGGCACAGGGCTCCTCCCACCCTCCTGCCCTCCCCAGCAGGAGAGAAGACCTCATGAGAACAAAGAGCCACAATGTGTAGAAATGGTGTCCTCTTCATCTGCCTTCCCAAGATGTATCCTAGGAGGGCCTGCAGGTCCCACCAGCCACACAGCAGAATTCCAACCCAAGGATGCTTGGCTGCCGGCTGAAATGATAATCCACCTGCAGTGGAGTGACTTTCCACGAAACCCAACTCTCCTGCGTCCCAAGGCTGGGACTAGCCTTCCTTCCACACTGAGGTGTGGTCAGTGTTGTGGTCCTCCCTGGTCTGATGTGCTGTTAGCAGACCAAGGATGCACCACTAACAAAACAACCCCGGTGTTGAGAGCCACAGCCGAAGGGGCCCCAGCAAACTTCCAGCTGATTGGCTCACAGCGGCCCCAGCAAACTTCCAACTGCCAGCTGATTGGCTCCTCTGCGGTGATGCTCATTGGGCTGTTTCCCCGCCCTTTCAGACCATGGAGCTGCTCATTGGGGAACTCTTTTGGCTCCGCCCATTCGACCCAGCCAATCGGCCTCAAGAGCAGGAGGAGTGGGGGGTTGAGAGGCTTGTGGGAAGCCGGTGGTGGCAGTTGGGCTCTGAGGGAATTCCTGAAGAGATCGTGTGGTGTGGCGTGTGTGTTCTAAAAATAAACTTCGTTTCTGCTTGATAAGTGGCTCGTGAATTGTGCCCAGCCAGACTGCGGCACCCGTGTATGCCTCACTAGTACCTGAAAGCCCACCAGCTGTCCTGAACAAACCAGGAACAGAAGAGAAGAGAGAGAAGCAGAGGAGAGCTGTCATTGGGACTTGGGTTAGGGCATCTGCTGGGTCTCTGCCTTCCTGCACATGTCCGTCAAGCAGGTTGGACCATGCAGACAGCTGCCAGGAGCCCTGTCACCTGTCAGACACCCTATATCCACTGTCCGCCTCCACAGGTTCAATCAACTGTGGACTGAAAATCTCTGAAACACACTGTCTATATTGACATGTTCCCTGTTTTTTTTTTTCTTCTTGCCATTATTGCTTAAACAGTGCACTGTAATAACTATTTATGTAGCATTTAAATGCATCAGGCTGTATAACCTAGAAATGACAAAGTACATAGAAAAACTGCACAGGAGACACAGGGAACTTGAGCTCCCACAGATTTTGGTTTCCACAGGGATCTTAGACCCAGTCCCCCTCCCCAAGCTCTGAGGGATGGCTGTCATTCATTTCTGTCCCTGAGCAGGATAAATCCACTCATCGAGGACTTCAGTGGCCTTTGTTCCAATGGCCACCACCTCGAGCCAAGGACCGCTATTGGTGGGGTTGGCCTTGCCGTTCCGAGTTCCCTGCTCGGGTCCCTCTCTGGAGCCCTGGCACGCCCAACTGCACTCAGCTGTCAGCTCACCCTGGAAGCAGGGACCTCCCTGGCTCTGGCTCCGCTGGAACTGTTTTGGGGTTTGTGCAAGCCAAGGAAGTGGCCAGCCAGGGCTGCCGTGTTGGCGGGCACTGCAGGGGGCAGCTGGCACACGGCGCCACAGCCAGGTGTGGCTAGCTGGGACGCCCGGAACCCCAGCCCCTCTGGAACACATTCACAGGCTGCCTGACGGGCTCCAGCCTGGATGTGCACCCAGGGCCTGGCCATGTCAGCCACAGCCTCCCATGGCTGCCCCACAATGCCAGAGGTAAGGCCAGGGAGCCAGCTCCGGGGAGATCAGCCAAAAGACACCCCCACAGGGCAGGAACAATGCTGCTGGTTTTCTTGCCTCTCCTCCCTGAGCCAAGTTCAAGGTCACCTCTGCTAGGACACCCCCCCCCCAACCTCCCAGGTTAGGGTTTGACACAGTATATTAACCTGAGATAGCCTCTGGGTGTGCACTAGAAAAACAAGCAAAGGTCGGGACTCTGGCCCGAGAAACAACAGCAGAGCGATGGGGTTGAAGAGCAAGCTGATATTTCCCAAGCACCTACTATGTGCCAGCACTGGGCCAAGTGGCTTTGAATGCAACCTCACAACAACCCTGTAGAGAGAGGAATTATTCCCACCTCATAGGCAAGATATCCGAGGTTCAGGGAAGTGAAGTAACTTGCCCAAGGCCTCCCAGCTGGGAAGTGGAAAGGCTAGAATTTGAACTCAGATCTCTGTGGTTCTGTGGACCCTATTTATACTCAGTAGATGTTCCAAACCTGGCTGTTCTGGGCCAGATCGACTAGTATGGGCTTCCTCTGGCCTGGGAAAGAAGAGGAGCAGAGCTGGGAGGGAAGCAGGCCCTTCTCCTGGTCTTGGCCAACGGTGGCACCAGCAGGAAGCAGGTAGAAAGAGGCCTTCAGGGGCCTGGGGCCACCAGGCAGCCTCCATAGGTTCAATCGATCTGTCCCACAGCACACTGCTCCCGAGCCCTGTCTCCTCCGCCCTACTCCACAAGTTGGGGCTCCCTGTGAGGGTGGAAACCCAGGAAGATCCCGACCTCAAAACTGTGCAGTCCAGCTGAGACAGGAGGGTTGATGAGGAGGGATGTGAGATTCGGGCCCTGGGGACCTTGGGCCAGCCGACACAGAGGCCAAGGTGGAGGGGACATGCCTGGATGGGGAAGGAGAGAACGCCCCAGGGGCGGGAAACAGGACCAGGGGACAACTCAGCACGGCAGGCAGGGAGACAGGCTGGATCCCCTGCCTTGGGGCTTTCTGGAATCTCCTCCCCAACACTTCCTCCCACTATCAAAACTTCGCACACAGACTTCTGGATCACAAAAAGGCCTCCTTGTTTCCAAATGTGTGTGTGTGGGGGGTGCTCCCCATTCAACAAACAGGCTACACGCCAGACAAGGGAAACGGCAAGGATACCCGCACCCGACCCCCCGGTCCCCGCAACCTGCATGGCCAGGAGCTCAGTCCTCCTCCAAAGGGAGGGTCAGACGCCACTTCTAAGGCAAAAAAAGCTGGGGTTTCACTTGTGGTGGTGGGGAGCAGCCAGGCCTCCAGGGGGCGCCAGGGAGGCAGTGGGCAGCTCTCCTACACCAAGGCCGGGCTCCTTGGCAGAGCAGGGGCCGGGGGAGCCTGGCAGAGAACCCAGAGTTCCCTCTCTCCTAGGGAACATTGCTCCTGTCCTCCTCCTGTGTGGTGGCCAGGTAAGGCAGGTCTCAACCAAGAAGGGAACAGCGGGTGGGGACAACGCTAAGAAAGCGAAACCCTGGGGTATTAAACCACCTGTGCTCACACAGAAGCAAGGACACTAACTGACACCAAGGGCTGGCAAGCCTGCAGGGTGCCTCCCCCACAACCTGCCCAGAGCGCTGTACTCACCCTTCTCTTTTCAATTACAGGTTGATTATCCCTAACCTGAAAATCCAAAACCTGAAATGCTCCAAAATCCAAAACTCTTTTGAGCACCCGCCTGATGCTCCAAGTGGAAAATTCCACACCTGGCTTCTTGTAACATGTCATAGTCAAATGCAGGTGCACTCAAAATGCTGTATAAAATTACCTTGGGGTTACGTGTGTAAGATGAATCTGAAACATAAATGAATTTCATGTTTAAACATGCATCTCATCTCTAGGATAGCTCATTATGTGGATATTCCAAAACCCAAAACACTCCTGGTCCCAAGCACTTAGATAAAGGATTTCCACCTGCAATAAACCTTTAACTTGAGAATAGCTTTAGATTCGTA